GCATTTTATATGTCGTTATCATATCCCCTGTGAGTGTGTGTGTGTGTGTGTGTGTGTGTGTGTGTGTGTGTGTGTACTCACCTATTTGTGGTTGCAGGGGTCGTGTGTGTGTGTGTGTGTGTGTGTGTGTGTGTGTGTGTGTGTGTGTGTTGATGTGTAATGTGTGTGTGTGTGTGTGTGTGTGTGTGGTGGTGTGTGGTGTGTGTGTGTGTTGTGTGTTGTGTTGTCTGTGTGTCTGTCTGTGTGTGTCTTTGTGTCTGTGGCTCTGTCTCTGTGTGTGTCTCTCGCCCTCTCTCTCACTCACTCTGTTTCTTGGCCAACGTTCCAACACGATCGTATGTTAGAGTTTCGATTCAGATATTCTGCTCGACTCTGCTAGCCTCCACCTCACCTAGTTTGCTCCAGGAAAATCCCATAATCATCTGTATTGACCAGGACTCTTTTCCGATTGCATTTTATCTACGATACGGTTATCCTGGTCAACTATACTGTCCTCATCGCCTCAGTAGTACAAGGAAGTCTGACAGCAACATCTTCATCTTCGTCTGTATGCTACAGATTATCTACGGAGCAGTGATGATACCAGTAAATCATCCCTTGTTAACATTGGTCATTAATTTAGTTTTTATTTTTCAATTTTGATTCAGTTAGGTTATTAAACTTCGTATTTTCCTGTTTATTATAAACTTAAATTTTGTTCTCAACCTGGTTCTTGATACCATTCCTGAGAGACAGCCATGATGCTGTCTTATTCTTGAAATAAATCACTTGTTTCAGACTTCCTGACTGACAGCATCTCCACGATCTTATAAAACAAACCCCCCCACCCCCCAAAAAATAAATTTTCGTCACTGTTGTATACTGGGGAATAATGAACGGCTCTGGTTCACTATACTGGTTATATTCCCACAGAGTCCCAAAATAAACTAAAATTAGATACTTGAAACATTCCAAGTGATTAAGTAAAAACCGAACACAAAAGAACTGAGGTTAGGATATAGTTGTATTTTATAATTTAACACAAGATGGATTAAACTAGCCAGTACATGATAGACAAACCTACTTCAGTTGTTTGAATCAAGCCAAGTTTCACTCAATCAAAGCAATAATAACTGGGTCCTCTGTGAATGCACATATACTTAGTGGAAACTATATTAAATATACCGATAATGCCAGTACCTAATCAGCCAATCACGTGACAGCATCTCAATCCCTAAAATGATGCAGATATGGTCAGGAGGTTGTTCAGACCATCTTCAAGGGGAGGGGAGTCTCCTTGGCGTGGTGAAAAGGGTTTTGCTCTGAGGAATTGGATCTTCGATCTTTTTCCTCCGACCGAACCTAATTACCCCCACTTCCTCTTTCCCAACCCAATCTTTTTCATCCCTCCTTTCCTTTCCCTGTTCTTGACCCATCCCTCTCCTCTCCTTCCTTCCGTGCTATTGGCCTTCGGAATCTACCCCTCTGAAATTTTAGGGGAGAGGGTGTCGGTGTCCATTCCATTTCGTTGAGCTTCATGGTGGTGCTGTTGCTTGCCATGGAATCTGGATCAATTAGGGATATCCTGATATCCGTTCAGAGTTCCAGGGGGAGCAGCTTAAGTTCGGGTGACGGATGTATCTCTGGAGATTACTTGTCGGTTCCAGGTGGTGGTGGACAAAGGACGTATGCCATGTAATGGATTTCCAGTCGCCCTCTTTCGTTCAGTGAGGTGGCTCGGTGGATGTGAGGTTGCTATCCTGGATTGCTGGTTTATCGGCATGAAGGGTAGGGTATGGCACTGGTCCCATGCCGCATCTGCACTACTGATGGTTTTAAATCCTCTGACGGCGTCGGGTTTGAAGCAGCATTCCCAGTGTTGTATGAGGTCATTTATAAGACTCTGGTAGCATTTTCACAGCTTAACTGTATGCAATTATCATAGCAATTATACGTATTGTTTCCAGTCCTACCTCAACATTCATGGTAGTTTAAGCTTTAGTGCTTTGCAACCTATCAAAAAATTTAATTCTTCCCATTCTCTAGTTCGTCATATACAACTTTGGTTGTGCCGCATTTCTAGCAAAAATAAAGAAATTGTTTTCTGTTGGGTCCGTGATCATGTTGATGTTCAGGGCAACGAGCAGACTGACTCTGCTGCGCGGTCAGTGGTACAGGACCTCCTCGTTTTATATAGGGGTATTCTATTTTCATCCTATTTTGCTGTAATTTCTGGCCGCCTTCGAAACCGTTGGTAACAAGGTTGGTCTTAGTTGATTCATAACAAATTACGTTCTATAAAGCCGAGTTTAGGATTCTGGTCTTCTTACTATCGATGTCGTGTTTGGGAGACTAGGTTTCCAGCCTTCACATGGGGCGCACACATCACACTCATGGGTATCTCATGGAGAGGTGCCCAGTTCTACTCCGTGAGAATTGTCAGGTTCCTATTTCAGTTTGCTATATTGTATGACTCTCCTATCTACCAGCAAGCACGCAGAATTTACTTCCAGAGTCGTCACCGCTCTAACAGCCTTACTTTATCTTACCTCCTCGCTGACGGCCCCACTCTTTCACACAGACTCTCTCTTGGACTTTTTAACACCAACAGATTTATTACGCAAATTTTATTATACTTCCTATAGCACTCCTCACCGCCTTTACTCTCCCTCTCTTATACTCTCCAGCCTGGCTTAGTCTCAGATCAAGCATAGTAAACTTTAGCACACACTAGTATATTACAGACCATTCTGGAGAAATACCCTGACTTTCAAAGCTGTAAATAAAGCATTACCACGTGTGTGTGTGTGTGTGGTGTGTGTGTGTGTGTGTGCGCGCGCTTGTGTGTATACATATATTTGTACGCTCGTGTGCATGTGTCTGTGCGTGCGCCCTCGTGTGTGTATGTGTGCGCGCGCGCTCGTGTGATTGTATGACCCACTTAATTTTTGTATTTATAACTCATTACAATTGTGACCAGGTGTGGACGTGTCAGTGGTTCATTACTTTGTAATTTGTTCATGACTGTAACCATGTATAGGAGTGAAGCTGATTCATTACCTCTGTAACTTGCCATGATTGTGACCAGATCTACCTGGAGTTCATTACCTTTGTAACTAGTTCAGCTATCATAACTTTGGGGTCCAGTCCCTGGACCCATTGTGTACCTTTGTAATCTTTTGACTACCACCCACAGGATGGGTATGACTACCGTCCACAAGATGGGTATGACTACCACCCACAGGATGAGTATGACTACCGCCTAAAGGATGGGTATGACTACCACCCACAGGATGGGTATGACTACCACCCACAGGATGGGTATGACTACCGCCCAAAGGATAAGTATGACTACCACCCACAGGATGGGTATGACTACCACCCACAGGATGGGTATGACTACCACACACAGGATGGGTATGACTACCACCCACAGGATGGGTATGACTACCACCCACAGGATGAGTATGACTACCACCCACAGGATGGGTATGACTACCACCCACAGGATGAGTATGACTACCACCCACAGGATGGGTATGACTACCGCCCACAGGATGGGTATGACTACCACCCACAGGATGAGTATGACTACCGCCAAAGGATGGGTATGACTACCACCCACAGGATGGGTATGACTACCGCCCACAGGATGGGTATGACTACCACCCACAGGATGAGTATGACTACCGCCCAAAGGATGGGTATGACTACCACCCACAGGATGGGTATGACTACCACCCACAGGATGGGTATAACTACCACCCACAGGATGGGTATGACTACCACCCACAGGATGAGTATGACTACCGCCCATAGGATGGGTATGACTACCGCCCACAGGATGGGTATAACTACCACCCACAGGATGGGTATAACTACCACCCACAGGATGGGTATAACTACCACCCACAGGATGGGTATGACTACCACCCACAGGATGAGTATGACTACCGCCCAAAGGATGGGTATGACTACCACCCACAGGATGGGTATGACTACCGCCCACAGGATGGGTATGACTACCACCCACAGGATGGGTATAACTACCACCCACAGGATGGGTATGACTACCACCCACAGGATGAGTATGACTACCGCCCAAAGGATGGGTATGACTACCACCCACAGGATGGGTATGACTACCACCCACAGGATGGGTATAACTACCACCCACAGGATGGGTATGACTACCACCCACAGGATGAGTATGACTACCGCCCAAAGGATGGGTATGACTACCGCCCACAGGATGGGTATAACTACCGCCCACAGGGTGGGTATGACTACCGCCCACAGGATGGGTATGACTACCACCCACAGGGTGGGTATGGGGTACATAATAAAGATATTAAACTAATTAACCTACCGTGCAGTGCTGTATAAACCTTGTGGGATTACCACTTAGTGTTGATTATTATATTCCTTGGATGATGCATGTCTGGAACATGTTCGTACAGCATGATATCAACGAAATAATTAGGTGACCAAATAAAATCGCTGGCCCAGAGATGATAGTTAAGACACATAGGCAACATTTGAGGTTGTCAGTCCCTCAGCCTGGAGAACTTCTCCAGGCTGAGGGACTGACAACATCAAATCTATGACTTTAAGGGTGATAGACTGATTACATCGTCTTCACATCTCTACTGCTCCTGCCTACTTTTTGTACTAGATTGAAGAAGCCTACTGTGTAGGCGAAACGTTTCGGAATAAAGTTGCCTAAATGTTGCCTATGTGTCTAAACTACCATCCTGTCGGTATTGTATACCATTTTGATATTGGCCCAGAGATGACTCCAACGTCATCCTCTTCTCTGTTTGTATGTTTTGTGACAATAAAAAGGCTTTTAATTGAGCTGATGTATGTAACAGCTCTTAGCTTGTAAATAAAGTTAGGAATCTTAACCTAACCTTGTGAAAAATAAGAGAGATATAACGAGAAAATAATAAATTTGAGGCAGAATGCTGCCCTTTAAAAACACACACGTCTCTACAATAACAGAGAATAAGAGTACTCACCTTGATGTTGAAGGCGACTCCTGGAGGAGGCCTGGAGGCAGCTGTGGTGCTCTGCATCCTCTCCTGCAACACAAACTTCACTGGGATTTATTTGTCAATAGAATCACGAGAACTGTTCGTGGTGAAGGTCGTAGTTATATAACTCACTCAGTTTACCTCGAGGTCTTCCTCTGGTCGAGGTCTTCCTCTGGTCGAGGTCTTTCTCTGGTCGAGGTCTTCCTCTGGTCGAGGCCTTCCTCTGGTCGAGGTCTTCCTCTGGTCGAGGTCCTTCCCACCCCACAGATCTTTATTTAGACAACATTTTACTCACAGTACAGAAAAAACACATTCAGAGTAATGATTTCTTCCGTGAACTCTGAATAAATTATATGCTGCTGATGATTGTTATTATTATTATTAATACACAAGCCGTCTCCCACCGAGGCATGGTGACCAAGCTGTTACTGCCGGCCACACGCAATCCGACGTACGAACCACAGCTCGGCTGGTCAGGTACTGACTTTAGCTGCCTGTGACAAAAGAAAAGTGTTGACTCAAATTCGCGCAGTTTGAAGGGCGCGTTATAAGACTACTAAATGACAGAAGCAAACTCTAAATGTGTTTACTCTCTTCAGGTTTGGAGGGAAGAAAGGAGGTGAAAGATGAAGCCGTCGAGATATATGGACGAGATGATGCCCGGTTACTGTGGCAACCTCAGCAAGGTCTGCAACACTGATGCCAAGCCATCGTAAGAACGGGAGTCGGGTCTGGAGACTAGTACTTGCAACTACCTCCTCTACCTTTCTCCAAGCTGCTGTCTTAGAGTGGAAGTGAGAGTGGACACACATACCCTTCAACAACTTCCTCGCTCGTTTAAAATCAGGACTCAGTTAGCGGTTCTGCTGTAACGGTAGCGACCCCGGGCATCACTGCACGAGCACAAGCATCACTGCACAAGCACAAGCATCTCTGCACGAGCACAAGCATCACTGCACGAGCACAAGCATCACTGCACGAGCACAAGTATCACTGCACGAGCACAAGCATCACTGCACGAGCACAAGCATCACTGCACGAGCACAAGCATCACTGCACAAGCACAAGCATCTCTGCACGAGCACAAGCATCACTGCACAAGCACAAGCATCTCTGCACGAGCACAAGCATCACTGCACGAGTATTTGGAAGCATCACTGCATGAACACAAGCATCACTGCACGAACACAAGCATCACTGCACGAACACAAGCATCACTGCACGAACACAAGCATCACTGCACGAGTATTTGGAAGCATCACTGCATGAACACAAGCATCACTGCACGAACACAAGCATCACTGCACGAACACAAGCATCACTGTCTGGTGTGTTGTCAGCAACATCAAGAAGTGGAAGACTGCGTCTTCTCTGCATTTTGAACTGTGACAATGCCTGTGACACTTTTAAGAACGTGGAAGGAAATATTCCGACCACCATGGCCAAGGAATGCCTTGTTGATGCTGTGGTCGGAAAGATGGTCAGTAGAAGAAATTGGTTGGAGAGTAAGGAATTTTGTCCAAGGTCCTTGAAACAGAGCGTAAGGGTAGGAATTGCTTAGTTCAACGTTTCTTAAAACACGAGGAGAAACTGAGGTAGGTTCATTGTTGACACGTCGAGGTCGTTTGGACTGAAGGTTAGAGGTGGACTATCCCCAGTTGTGTATAAGATTCGAAAATCGTCGCAATGTATGTGGAGAAGCCGGGATCATAGTCAAAGCTGTGCAGAGGTCAAAAGTGTCTAAAGGGTCAGTCAAAACAGCGGTACCAGAGGAGGGTAACGGAACGTTACCCGGAGAAGGTACCGGAAGACAGGTCCGATAAATGGTCCAAAGGCGTGCCAGGGGTCTGTAAGAAGCGTTGCAGAAAAGGGTTCGAGAGGAGGCATATCATGGGTAAAGGTCTCCTATATAACTTTTCCTTTTATTTATTCTTTAAAGAAAGGGGATGGGGGAATGTGGAGGAATAGCTCCCAGGAGGAACAAATGGAATCAAAGGGCCCAAGAGGACCCTTAGTGCAGCCAGCAGTGCAGATGCGGCATGGAACCCGTGCCCTACCCTACCTTTCACATCCACCGAACCACCTCCATAGTGAAAACAGAGGGCGACCGGAAACGCGCCACAAGGCATACCTCTTTCGGCCACCTACCTGGCACCTACAGGTATCCTTCATAGATACACCCATCACCCGAAGGACATCCTTAGCCAGCCCCTGGAGGGGAAGGGGGTGGCTAAGGGGATCGGGACATCCCTGGATGATCTAAATTTCACGGAAACTTAGCCATCACCAGCGAAATTGGACAGACAACTACACCCTTTCTCCATCTTAGGAGCTAGACTTTGAGGGGAAGACCTCAGAGGGCAAAAGCAGGAAAGGAATCAGAGGGAAGGTAAGGAAAAAGGACAGGAAAGGGAAAGGAGGGATGGAAAAGATCGGGTATGAAAGAGGGAGTGCGAGGAAATAGACCGAAAGTCCATTTCCTCCGACGAAAAGCCTCTTTACCACTACAAGGAGTCCCCCTTAAAGAGGTATGTGCAATTTTCAGGACGACTGTTTGTTGTCTTTGTAACTTTGCCATTTAGGAATAATGTTAAGTTTTTGTTCAGTAACTGAAGGGTCCCTTCAGAGACTCCTTTGTGACATACAACAATTTTTGTTAGATTCAATTTCCCTTTTTTATGAGTACAATGTTTTATGCTCTTTGCGAGTTGATCTTGTGAGTTCTCTCAACGGTACATAATTCATACAGAACTTGGGTAGTGATATATGCTTAATCTCATGTGATAAATCGATTGAATTAGTATAAATAATCCTCATTCATTATTAAGTTGAAAAATATATAACATTAAGTAGGGCCCATCATCATCATTCATTATACAGACATTATTCATTACATTTAGCTGATTGCTAGAGTCAGACTGTCGTATATTCTCAGTTTGGTTCAGTTTGAGTCATAAGAAGCTTCTCATTGCTTCCATATATCAGTATTACCATCCTCTTGTCTTTGATATCAACCAGACATAATGACTAAGTCAACCTAATACGTAAGTACTGATATATATCTCGTAATCTCATAAATCCTAAATTATTACCAAAAGATAATAAATAATTTATTCTTGATATGTGTTAATGGGCTCGTTTCTAAATTAACTATTTCTAAGGATAAATTGAATTTAAATACTCCGTCCAACAACTTGCTTGTAGAATGCCCCCTCCAGTGGGGAGTCTTCCAGGCGCCCTGGACAAGACGTCACCTCCAGCGGGTAGTCTTCCAGGCGCCCTGGGCAAGACGTCACCTCCAGCGGGGAGTCTTCCAGGCGCCCTGCGCAAGACGTCACCTCCAGCGGGGAGTCTTCCAGGCGCCCTGCGCAAGACGTCACCTCCAGCGGGGAGTCTTCCAGGCGCCCTGGGCAAGACGTCACCTCCAGCGGGGAGTCTTCCAGGCGCCCTGGGCAAGACGTCACCTCCAGTGGGGAGTCTTCCAGGCGCCCTGGGCAAGACGTCATCTCCAGCGGGGAGTCTTCCAGGCGCCCTGGACAAGACGTCACCTCCAGCGGGGAGTCTTCCAGGCGCCCTGGACAAGACGTCACCTTCAGCGGGGAGTCTTCCAGGCGCCCTGGACAAGACGTCACCTTCAGCGGGGAGTCTTCCAGGCGCCCTGGACAAGACGTCACCTTCAGCGGGGAGTCTTCCAGGCGCCCTGGACAAGACGTCACCTTCAGCGGGGAGTCTTCCAGGCGCCCTGGACAAGAGTCCAGGGCGCCTGGTTCACGGTCCCGTAAAATTAAGTGAAAAACTAGTTGTACTTCCTCATACTTCCCTGACTCATAAAGAGGCCAGTTACTGTGCGACTGAACTTACTGTGCGACGGAACTTACTGTGCGACTGAACTTACAGACCGATAGCACTAACATCCCATATCATAAAATCTTTGAAAGGGTCCTAAGAAGCAAGATCACCACCCATCTAGAAACCCATCAGTTACACAACCCAGGGCAACATGGGTTTAGAACAGGTCGCTCCTGTCTGTCTCAACTATTGGATCACTACGACAAGGTCCTAGATGCACTAGAAGACAAAAAGAATGCAGATGTAATATATACAGACTTTGCAAAAGCCTTCGACAAGTGTGACCATGGCGTAATAGCGCACAAAATGCGTGCTAAAGGAATAACAGGAAAAGTCGGTCGATGGATCTATAATTTCCTCACTAACAGAACACAGAGAGTAGTCGTCAACAGAGTAAAGTCGAGGCAGCTACGGTGAAAAGCTCTGTTCCACAAGGCGCAGTACTCGCTCCCATCTTGTTCCTCATTCTCATATCCGACATAGAGAAGGATGTCGCCACAGCACCGTGTCTTCCTTTGCAGATGACACCGAATCTGCATGACAGTGTCTTCCATTGCAGACACTGCAAGTCTCCAGGCGGACATCAACCGAATCTTTCAGTGGGTGGGCGAAAACAATATGAAGTTCAACGATGAGAAATTTCAGTTACTCAGATATGGTAAACACGAGAAATTAAATCTTCATTCAGAGTACAAAACAAATTCTGGCCACAAAATAGAGCGAAACACCAACGTCAAAGACCTGGGAGTGATCATGTCGGAGGATCTCACCTTCAAGGACATAATTGTATCAATCGCATCTGCTAGAAAAATGACAGGATGGATAATGAGAACCTTCAAAACTAGGGAGGCCAAGCCATGATGACACTTTCAGGTCACTTGTTCTATCTAGGCTGGAATATACTGCCCACTAACACCACCTTTCAAGGCAGGTGAAATTGCTGACCTAGAAAATGTACAGAGAACCTTCACGGGCGCATAACGGAGATTAAACACCTCAATTACTGGGAGCGCTTGAGGTTCTAAACCTGTATTCCCTGGAATGCAGGCGGGAGAGATACATCATTATTACACTGGAAATCATAGAGAGACTAGTACCGAACTTGCACACGAAAATCACTCACTACGAAAAACAAAAGACTTGGCAGACGATGCAACATTCCCCCCAATGAAAAGTAGGGGTGTCACTAGCACGTTAAGAGACCATACATAAGTGTCAGGGGCCCGAGACTGTTCAACTGCCTCCCAGCACACATAGGGGGGATTACAACAGACCCATGGCAGTCTTCAAGCTGGCACTGGACAAGCACCTAAAGTCAGTACCTGCCAGCTGGGCTGTGGTTCGTACGTTGGTTTGCGTGCAGCGCAGCACAGCTGGTTGATCAGGCTCTGATCCACCAGGAGGCCTGGTCACAGACCGGGCCGCTTGGGCGTTGACCCTGGAACTCTCTCCAGGTAAACTCCAGGTAAACTGAGCGATGAAACTTACTGTGCGACTGAAACTTACTGTGCGACTGAACTTACTGTGCGACTGAACTACTGTGCGACTGAACTTACTAAAAGCCATCGTGTGTCAGAATAACTCGCGGGGTGAAGAGCACGGCGCATGATAACTTATAATTACGAGAAATAACTCG